AAGTCTAGCGTGGACCTCGCTACGCTGGTAGGTGCTGCGGTGATTGAGTAAGAATGGCCCCATAGGCTCATATATCTGAATGCTTAGCTATCAGGGAGTGGTATAATTAGAAGGATTAGGGGGTGTGGCCTTGTTGGAGGACATATGTCTCTGGGGTGGGCTTACTCTCTCTCTTCCTGTTGCTTGCAGATCTGAATGTAGAACTCTCAGCTACTTCTCCAGCACCATGTCTGCCTGTGTGGTGCCATATTTCCCACCATAATAGATTAAACTTCTGAAACTGCAAGCAAATCCCAACTAAATGCTTTCTTCTATAAACGTTGCCATGGCCATAGTGTCTTTCCACAGAAATAGAACACTGACTAAGACAGGTATTAAAGATATATTCAACTGGCTGCCTTCTTTTGCTGACTTTTTAAACCCTAGAGATATTTAACATTTAGTCATCTAGCCTTCATAGCTTAACAGTCTACAGATACACTGGGCATAGATACAGTAACAGGAGAAAAGAACCTGGCTCATTAGCATGGAGAAACAGAAGGCAGGAGACGTGCAAGATACAAAGGGTTGCTTGACAGATCCTTGAAACTTATTTATAGAGATAAACCAATGGTTAAGGGCTTGGGCACCCGGGAAAGGTTGTGGAGGAGCTGTACAGAGAGAGAGCTTGCAGTGCAGATGAAGTGTTGAAATGTCCCAGGAAATGGGGGGCTTGTCACCTCTGACTAGACCAGGTGTTGGGGTCCAGATCTCTTCTTTCTGTGAAATGATGGTTCTTAGAAAGGAGGGCGCCAGCGAAGAACCAGTACCTACTGGTTATTACTAGCAGAAATTTCCTTTGTAGATGTTAATTTCTTATATGAAGAGGGTAGCTCCTTGGGATAATTGCTGTGTTTGGAGAGGTCTGTAGATTTTCTGAATTAATAACCAACTGGAAGAATTCCAGAGACATACATTAGGATGAGGTAGTCGACTCTCCCACCGCACAATTATGCTATCACTCCAAGTGGGACGGGGGTTCCTTAAGGACCAGAAATTATCTCATATTTCCTTGTGAGTTTAATGTTGGAGCTTACATTTAGTGGATAAAGTTTCTTTATAAGATCTAGCAAATAGTATCCTAAAAGCTGCAGCCTAATGACAGCCGATTCTCTATACGCCACTCTCTCCTCTCCCATACCTTTTATGACTCTTTGATGCTTCTCTATTTACTGATAATGGTATTATTTCACTTTTATTCTGTACCAGGCAGAGAACACTTGCTTCCTTTTAGTTAACTGTTTTCTGTCCAAAATGAACAACGAGAAGCCAAGAACAACAAAACAATTTGACATAGCTTTTAAGCATAGACGTCACTTAGTAAGTTTTAAATTTACTGCCTGAGTATATCAGCTTTGTGTGGTTAAGAAATTTTCATTTTCCAACTTTATTTCATGTTTCAAAGCAAAGAAAAAGCAAAGCTCATTTCCACCATGATTCTGGCAGCAGCTCTGAGTTGGGAGAAAATCCTCCTTTGGTCACCTTAGGTCACCTCCCTGCTCTCCCTGGCCTTCCACAGAACTCACCTCACACGTGCTATAGCTTCTCCCAAGCACCCTTCTAGTGTTTAGACAGTTTCTATCTGGAACAAGCAATCAGGAGAGAATACCCAGACTCTGGGTGGGTCAGATTCTGGGCCCGGGACGGGGAACCAGGAAGGGGAGGAATGTCCCTCTAATTTGTATGTGCTCATATGAGCACATCAAGTTGAAAGTAAGTGGAGAGCCCTCTTAAGACACACAGTTTAAATAAAAATGTTTAAAATACTTCCCAGAAGGCCACAAAGCAAATATGAGACCCCCTCAGAGCTCCACCTCCCTCCCTCCCTGTCCGTGCGCCCTGGGTCTCTGGGTAAGAGGTTCCCAGCCTTACTTGGTGCCAGCTTCCTTTGTTTTGCCATTCTTTTCAGAGGGCCTCCAAAATTCTCTTCCTTGTTACACAATTCAAGGGACATACTCCCCCCCCCCCCCAGATGACCAATAACTACCCAGATATCTTTTGCCTCAGAACCTTCCCTGTCCCCACTTACTGTTTTACTATTGGAGACAATTCATCTTCCTGCCTTTTGTGTTCTTGGGGTTCTAGGAATCTGGGGGAGTCTTGCTTCCCCCTTCCTGCTTTGCTGGTTTCCACTGGCCTTCTTTTCGTCAGCTCTTTTTAGCTCTGTTGCAGGAACCGTTTGCTACAGACCTCTCTGACTCCCCCAATTCCACCCCTCTTTCCTCTTCTGAAATGACAAAGACACCCAGAACATGTTGCCAGCCATCTTCATATTCTGCAACTGAAACCAGAAGTCTAGAATGAGAAATTACAGGAGTCTCATACGAGAGGCCAGGACGAGCTTTAACTTAGAGAATTCCCATCCTGACTGTGACAACCCTCCTCCAAGTGCATGGTTGGAGAGCTGAGGAATTTGCAGGAAGGCAAAGCAAACAGAGAGTGTGTGGAATTGTGTTGAATATTTTCCCAGCGGGGCAGTAAAGTGCCCTAAGCGGGAACAGTCTGCCATGTGTGTTCACCCACAGCAGGAAGGTGAGTTTTAAAACACGAAGTGACCTCTGCATGAGATTACTGGGGATTTTAGAGAGAATGGAGACAGAAAAAAGTGCGAGATCAGAAGCCAAATGGCTACAGGGTGTTTGAAAAACACAACATCAGCAGATAAAACAAAAACAAAAACTTATCAGTAAAAAGAGTATTCAGATGTACTCCCTGGATGAAGAAGGAATCCGAACTAAAACAGCTTCTAAGCAGAACTTGATATATCTCAAACGGAGAGTGTGAAGTTCTCAAAGCTCAGAGAAAGCATCATAACAGAAAACAAGAGTACAAAAGAAATAGCAGCTGGGCTAAGAATCACCCCTTCTGGAGCAAGAACTTGGAACTTTTGCAAGGCTCGATACGGGAACCGCACTCTACCTGTGTTACAGGGCTTGCTCTGTTTGCAGGCTGAGAGTTAGCTCAGTTCAGTACAACTAGGATAGCCAACCCTGCAGAGGGCCCTATGCGGTGATGAAGACAGTGAAAGATGCTGCTGTCACAACTCACATCATGCCATTTTAACCAGCGTCCAAAGATATGGGCGTGAAACGCTGTTGTGGGGCAGCATCCTTCAGGCGTAACTGATGGTATCAATGTGTATGTGTGGTGTGGTGTGGTGTACATATGTGAATGTGTGGAAGTAGAGGTAGAGGTAGGGCAAGATATTGGGTGTCCTTGTCTATCTATCACTCCCTGCTCATCGCCTTGGTTGGCTCTCATTGCACTGAAAGGTCTGTTTCTTCTGTCGGTCCTGGGGGTTCACTAACACTTAGGTCTTCCTGCTGCATTGCATTGTGAGCGCTCTTACCCACTGAGACGTCTTTCCAGCTCCCTGTTACTATCTTAATTAGAGCTACACAAGAACTTCTGCAAGATTAAACCTGTTGATGCTCAGAATGAGGGAGTGGGAAATCATTAATCCCTCTCCTCAGAACCCAGTTACTCTCTCCTTTTCTTTTTGGTTCTATTTGTTTGTTTGTTTGTTTGTGTGTTTTAAGACAGGGTTTCTCTGTGTAGTCCTGGCGGACCTGGAACTCTATTTGTAGACCAGGCTGGCCTCAGACTCAGAGATCTTCCTGCCTCTGTTTCCCAAGTGCTGGGATTAAAGGTGTTTAAAATCTTTAATTAAAGGGATTAAAACCACTGCCTGGCTATTCCCTTCCTCTTGTGCCCTCCGCATCCAGTTGCGCCGACTACAAATGGGTCTCAGAAGGTGCTAGCGTACAGAGAGAAGATTAACTGGAGGGGATTCCATCTATGTAACTCTCAGGAGGCTGTCACTTACGCTGAGATGTGACTTTGGGATGCAGATGCTTTGGGGTCACCTATGTCCCATAAACTCATCAGTTCATCAAGCGGGACTTGGATGGTATTGTTACTTTGGTTGACTCTGGTGTCTTACTTGGGACGGGGAAGTGTTTGTTCACATCTCCCCTGGAAACTTAACTCAGTAGACACTCAGTAGTCAGTTTTTTCTGTTTTCATTTCTCCCAAAGGTGACTTTAAAGGGCTTCTGAGATTGTGACCTTCAACAGAGGAAACCAGAAAAGCCATGCACGATGTACATATGAACTCACATGCCAAGGTACCTCGTCTGACTCTGGAGCTCGGTGAGAGCGGTTTCTGGATGTCTGTGAACCCTTCAGAACATCTTCTGTAGCCTGGATGGGGGAACATTTTCTGCCTTTTCTGACAACCACAGTAATAGTATCATTTCTATTCATAATCCATATAAAAAGGTTATGGAGACTTTCATTTTTTCCTCCTTACCAGCATGTGTAATTGGGTAGATTTTGCATTTTAGATTCTGTAGTAGATCGGGTACCCAGCAGATCTGTAGCATCTGCCACCCCCAAACTCGACAGGATAGCACTGGGGATCTGCACTCCTGCGTTATCACCAGAGACTTAAGGACTTCTCAGGTCTGTAATGCCAAGGCCAAGATGCTCAGCCCATCTGGGAGCAGGTTACTGAGGCAGGGCTTCCTGTAGCCTCCTCTCCTGAGTAGGGGTACAACCTTGCTAGACACCAAGTAGAATGACCTACCTTTAGAAAGGTGTCTGCCAGCTTTCTGGTTAGTTCAAAAACCACAAACCAATTAATGTTTGAAGCCGATTTACCACGACGGACTTGCTAAATTTCACAATCTAAAGTTACTTTATTAATGCGTTCCGTGTTAATGACTTCTTACTGGGAAACGTAAAAAGAATGTTTTTCTCTATGAATATTTGAGCTTGTGTGTGTAGATTATTTCCTCCCAGTCTTCTGACTGCATTATGTTTTCCCCTTCTTCTCTGAACTGGCTCCAGAGCCCCACATCTCTCTCAGTCTGGCTGCTTTTTACTAGACAGAGTGGGGGTCAGATGCTGACTGTGAGTCAGTGTCCCCTCACAGTAACAGAATACGAGAGATAACCAAACTATTAAAAGATAAGCTTTAATTAATTAATTTGGACATTTGAGATGAGGTCTCGTGTAGCCCGATCTGGCCTTGAATTCATCATGAAGATAAAGATGACTTTGTACTCCTGATTCTCCTGCCAAGAGCTGAGATTACTGGCACGTGCAGTTGCTCTTGGCTGAAAGTCTTATTTCAATTCACAGGTACAGCGACTGCAGGCCACAATGCCTGGTCACGGCGTTCGTGGGCTTGTGGCAAAGTGTGGCATGATGGCCAGCGCTCATGGCACAGTCACCCTGCTTGCTTCATGGCCAGGAAGCAAGGATAAAGATGGAGATCCTCGGGTAGGCAAACACCTGCAAGGGCACATACGTTGAGCCTGAAATGAACGCCTCTCAGAAACCTACTAAAAGTTTCAGCATCTCACAATAACACAGTCCTGGGAGACAAGTCTTGAGCACACAACCAATAATACAGTCTTGGGGGACAAAGCCTTGAATACACACACACACACACACACACACACACACACACACACACACACACGCATGCACATACACACACGGACATTTCAGACCCAAATCGCAGCACTCACCACACACTAAGGAAAGTGGATGGTACTTTGGTTATGGTATGATATCTATTTTCTTAGGCAGGGATGGGTAATTTTTTTCCTAATCTGAGGAGAACCACCATTGATGAGAGATTGAGCAAGGAAGAAGAGATGTGAGATTATTTAGCTTTAAACACAAAAACCGTGCCTTACCAATCACTGCATTTCATTCTTGAAGTCCTACTAGGTGCTAGATGACCACACTCTGGAGTTTACAACGTAGTGGCGCGACAAGAGAATGATTAGAGAATTCTTTACCGTAAAAACAAGAAGGTGGTTTTCTTATAAAAGGCCTGCAAATTAAGAATAGGTTCAGGAACTGGAATTGAGAAGGTTCTGAGAGGCCATGTAATTTGATGCTTCTTCTTTTGTTGATTAGGAAATTAAGATCAGAAGAGGTTAGAACACTTCAAGTTCAAAATTAAGCAAAATAAATGGATCTGAAGCCGTTGGTGGCACACACTTTTAATCCCAGCACTCGGGAGGCAGATGCAGGTGGATCTCTTTGAGTTCAAGGTCACCCTGGTCTACAGAATGAGATCCGGGACAACCAAGGCTACACAGAGATACCCTGTCTGGATAAATCAAAACTAAGAAATGGATGATCACTTGGTCTCCTTACTCTTAGTATTCGTTGCAATATATATTGTGCTACTGTTGCCTGGGAGGGGATGAAGGAATGTAACCTGCTTATCCCATCGGATTTTAACAGACGTTAGATAGCAGACGCTCACTTCATTCTTGCTGCCCATTTACAGTACCAGACATATCCAAATATCCTGAGCTCAGCATTTCTAAAAGTTCTGGGTCAAACAAAAACAGATTAATGAGATGTTACTTAGCCCCAAACTTAACCGCTAATTTCCATGCAGGAGGGAGAATTTTACCTGTTGTCTGAGACAGGTGGAGACTCAAGCTAGAGTATAGTGGCTGCCAATTGTGACTTTGAAAAGAGTGAATCTAGAAACGGTTTTGGCACAGTCTTCCTGCCACACAGTGCCTCACACGCATTGGACCTGCTGCTGAGGGCTGGGTTGCAAAGGAAAGAGAGCAGCACCCGTGACACCTCGGGGAGCCTGGCGGCTTGACAGAGACTCCGTACAGGTGACTGGGAATGATTAGCAGAGGCCAGGACTTGGGCGAAGGAAAGGCTGGCTAGACACTTGTTTAATAGTGTAACTACGACTCGTCACCAGCCCCTAAACAATAGGTGCACACTGACATTTCCAAAGCAGCTCCTTATACTTGGCTGCCATCGTTCCTTTGATGAAACAAAATGCAGAGGTGGAAAAAAAAACCACGGGTGGCTATGCTCAGTGCTGTAGGTTCAGTCTTCTACAGCACTCAAGCATTCTGGGGTCACGGATTAAACGAAACAAGATAAAAGCTTGGGTTCTAGAAATTCTCAGGATTAAACAAAGTGCTCCCCAGTGTGTTTCTTTTAGTGTGGTCTGAGTTCTCCATCACCTGTAGAGTGGGTGGCCTCTCCACTCCTGCAAATTTTTTTTGATGCATGGCGTGAGGAAGCAGAGACTATTGAGCTAAGGATGAAGCTTTTGTTTCCTAGTTGCAAGTTGGCTTGTGAAGGCTGAGGCAGGTTGTTCTCTTGGGGCAAGGAGCTGTGCGGGGGTGGAGAAAAAACACATGGGATCTGATGTTACCGCGGAGCCAAGATACTGTACACTGTTAGGGTGAATCTCACTTCTCTTGGAGTTGGCTGTTTTTCCTCCCAACTTCAGGGGACATACAGCAGATCCTAGCAAGAACAACTACCCCACTTAGTTACAAAGCCTTCTCTCTGTGCCAAAGACACAGGAGTGCATGGAGCTTTGGTGAGTCAAACTTTCTACGATCTAGCTGGCTGGCTGGACTAAAATGCTTGGGAAAGGTTGCTTAAATTAAGAGAGTAAGTGGAGAGGTTTGAAATCCTCAAATTAATGGAGGAGTCTTTTAGGTTCTGAGGTCCGGTCTTGGTGGGCTGGGAAAGGGAAGCTTCAGGAAATCTAAGGACTTCCAACTCAGACACCCCGCTGAGGGCGCTCCTGTCCCTGTCTAGCCTGTCAGTCCAGGTTGGAGATCTGTCCCCCAACTCCTGAGCAAAGCACAAAAATTTTGTCTTACCACCTGAGAAGTGGTAAGGAACAGTCGCTCCAACCTACTGGTTCAGCCCAGAAAATGTGAGTACATTCCAGCCTACTTTCTGTTGGATAACTTTGGAAATGGAACCGCTTCGACTCTGGTTCAGAGGGGCTTGGGTCACTGACTCTGACTTCTGCCCCTGACCTTGCTTTTCCCAAGACCACAGAAAACTTTGAGAATTTACCAGGAACGAGTACTTTTCGGGACCTCATCTCTTCCCCAGCGGCGGGACAGGCATACCGTGGTTCCCACTAACTTCAAGTTAAGGTGTGAGACAGATTCACGCAGAAGGATCCCGTGATCCGCAGAAATCAAAACTGAACGTGGACGTCCTGGACTCGCCCCGGGACCGGGCGTGGGCGGTCCAAGAGCACCTCCCGCAGGTCCGGGGAGCAGTGCCCGGGCCAGGTCACCTGACTCCGGGAATTTGGGGCCGCTCGGGGTGGGAGTGGCTAGCACCTCCCTCCTCTAGCCCACGGGATCCAGGTCGGCGGGGGCCGGCGCCCCGTGGCCACGTGGTGGTGCTGCAGCTGCCCCCGCCCTGCCGGCGGAGCCCGGGAGCTGAGCGCCCACTGACCCCCGCGTCGGGAGGAGGAGAAGAAGGAGGAGGAGGAGGAGGAGGAGGGACCCAGCGCAGGAAGCCGAGCAGGAAGCGAGCCCGGCGGCCGCGCTTTCCTGGAGAAGCGGCGGGCGGGACGGCCAGCGGAGCCGGGAGCTGAGGCAGCCGCTTGGATGGGGTGAGTGGCGGCGCCGAGTGGAGAGGCTGGGATGCGGGGTGTGGGCTTGATCCCCGCTTTTGTGTCTGGGGCTGCGGAAGGCGAGAGCGCGGGGCGGGAGTTACGGTCTGGACACACAGCCTTGGCCGCCCACTGTCCGCGGAAGACAGTTTGGTGGTGGGTGGGGGGTGGTTGAAGGAACTGGAGCGATGGTGGGGATCTGGCAGAAACAGAGGACCGACCAAGTTAGGAAAAGGGACTCGCCTCCTTCGGCGGTCTGGTGCGCGGGTTGTCGGCGGAGGGAGCGCGGGTGGGAATGAATGACCGGACCTGGGAGGACGATGTGGCTGCACCCCTGGGCAGCCCGTCCCACCTGCATGCCCAGCCAAGCGTCCCGCTGCCGAATCCTTGCTCCCAGGCTCGACCCACCTCTTCTCTAAACTTGAAAAAGCCGGAGAAGGAGGTGCGAACGGGAGACGCCGGGCGGGCGGCTCTGGAGACCCACAGTCCGCTATTGTTCCTTTCCGGACTCAAGGGAGCCGGTGAGCTGGCTGGAGGACGAAGGCGAGACCACTTCGGGCCTGTCCCGGCCCCCTGCTCCCCACCCTTCTTGTTCTTTCCCCCCACCACAGCTCCTAGGAGGGTGGAGAGGAGGATGCTGAAGTTGGGGCACACTCCAGGCAACTGGGCTTAGGTCGGCATTGCGACCCGTTTGGGAGGGCGGGTATCCTTCTTTCAACTCTCTAATCACTGCCAGTTTGTGTCTTCAATTTAGCTTCTCTAGTTTGCTGCGGTTTTTCTTTTTGGATTTCGCATCTCATTTTTGGGATGACCGGGTGGGGTGGGTGGTTTGAGTCTGGAAAGGCAACAGATGGGGAATTAAACCAGATGGAACCCAATGACTTGAAGAGGCAGGGGTGACCTCTCAGAGGCCTGAGCTGTATATAAAGCCAGGCTTTCTTTTTCCAGGGAGCCCAACTCAGTGCAACTTTTTACTCCCAGTGACCAAGTGTGCAGATGCAAGGCCACTCACTTGGTACCAGCCGCTTCTCTTCTCTGGGATCACAGGTGATTTGACTAGGGTCCCTGGTAGGAAGAATAGCGCGGAGCTGCCAGGGGCAGCTCATTGCTCATTGTCTGGGGTATACAAACTCAAGGCTATAAAGGCCGGCCTGGGGAGGAACTAGTTTTGCCCGTTAGTGGGACTTTGATTAGCTTCTTTAGCGCGAGCTTACATCTCTTATGGGTTTGAACATAGTTGAAAAAAAAAAAGGCAGTGAATCCCAGGGAGGTTGGACTTTGATTGCTTTGTCCCACAAGTGCTGGATCCTTGTTTACACGTATGACAGCAAGCTTTTTTTTTTTTAAACTGATGGATTTAATTTTATCCTTTGTCAGTAATAACTTACTAGCAAGGCCTTTTCTCCTTTATGCTTCTATGGCAGCCAGTTTTGTCAGAAGAAATCCAATTCTTGTATACTGTGGACCTGGGAGAGACCTCTGGTGTTGGGGGGTCAGTTTTAGCTTCTTCACTGGTGAGATATGTTTCTCATGGGCCCCACAGTATGCTTGCAGAGGTCTGAGGACAACTTTCAAGTCAGTTCTCTCCTACTGTGCGGGTTTGGGGAACAGAACTCAGGTCCTGAGGCTTGGCAGAAGGTGCCTCTATCTGCTGGGAGAGCCAGCCCCTTTGTTTCTTTTTAATGTTACTGGCTATCAGACTCGGGGCCTGTAGTGTGCTCAGATGGGCTCTATCACCATGTGAACTCCCGCCTCCACTGCCACTCAACTCTTAGAGGTCAGAAACTGAGATCTGGTGTTAAGACAAGTGGGCCTCGAATATAACAGGGTGAAATGCCGTCTCTCCTCACTTCCTGTGTTAGCTTGCTTGTCTTCCAAAATGTAAATAAATATGAAATATTTCAAAGAGAAACAGAAATTGTGCACGGTAAGGCATTAGTCTTTCCACTTTGTGGGTATGATAACAAATGAGAGCAGATAGTTTATCTGCCGTTTCCTCTCTGCTTCTGGCCTCGGGTGAGCAGGAATGACTGAGTACATATAGAGTTCCCAAGCATGATCGGTCCTTCTGTGTGTAATTAAAAATCATGAGCATTTATGTGTACAATTTTACGTTAATGGCATAACTCTATATACCTACAGTGTGCGTCCTTATGATTTTTTTTTGCTTTGAGATCCATGTATGTCCTTATTCACATCTGCTATTACAGGCATTCTAATATGTGAATTATGTATATATATATATATATATATATATATATATATATATCTGTAGCATATTGTAATGTAGCAGTTCACATCCTGAGATAAGCTCCTTACCCGCAGATTGTCTGTTCAGCTAGTTACTGGGATAGTGAGCTCTTGGAAGGCTGCTTTCATGATGTCATTCATTCCTTAGGGAGCATTTAGGTTCTGTCTCAGCCATCTGTTAGACGAAAAAGTGAACACGGGTCACTGTTAAACTCTAAATATTTCTGTCAAGGTTAGTTGATTGGATTGTTTTGTTTGAGTTTCTTTTTCTTCTTTCTATTATTAATAAGAATAGTTCTCTATCACATTGCTGAGTTTGGTCTAGTTGTGCTAAAGACTTGTTGGTCCTCTGATCTGCGATTGCTCACTCAGGTTCCCTTCCTCGTTTCTTCCCTTTTCGCCCTGTGGGTCTAAGTACTCGTGAGCAGAGGCGGATCTCCACTGTATGAGTAGCTGTATTATTGACATGACTTGTCCCAGCTCCCCAAAAGAGAGTTAGGCAGTCAACACATTGGCCTCCTTGTTGTTCCTTCAGATTTTGAGGCACATTCTGGCCCCTGAGTTCTTGTCTTTGATGTTCCTCCTCCCTGGAGCTCCTCTCCCTTACATGGGCTGTGGCCTTTTCCCCTGAGGTCCTTCCGCAGACACTCCCACCTAGTATATCCTGCAACCTCTCCCCTACTTTGCTTCCCTGTGTGTCCCCTGTCAATTTCTACCTTGCCATATATGTAAATTTATGTTAGTGCTGTCTTCCTGTAGTAGGGTACGGACCTATGAGGGCCAGAGTTTTGCATCTTTTAAATTTGCTGTCCCATGAGTACCATAAGCAGTGTTGACACATAGTAGTTACTCATACTGGATAAATTTAAATGAATATAAGATGCTTTTTATTGAATCAGGATGTAACTGCAGTCCTGGCTGGCCTGGAACTTGTTATGTGGGCTAGATTGGTCCCTAGCTTTCTCCTACCTCTGCTCAAGGTATAGAATTACAGACACAGGCCACCAAGCCCACCTATCAATATTATGCTTTTGTTTAGCTTTCCTACTTGGTATTTTTCACCTCCGCTTTCTTCTACACGTGTTGGACATCCTGGGGGGTGTTAGATGTTCTCTGTCGTACCCCAGTCAGTATCACATACAGGTTCTGATGGGATCAAACAAACAAACAAAACAACAGAAAAACAATCTTACAAAGAATCCACTCTGTAACTTAGCCCACAGAATACCCAAGTCTTTGGGTATTTGTTACCCAGGTTTTTTACCTGAACCTAAAGTCAAGAGAAAACAAGGAACATGATGCTTGGCCACACGCTCATCTTGCTTTTTCTCGACAACTCTTGTCTTCCCAGTGGACTGGTGTGAAAGGGGCTGACCTTTCCCTTACAAGCATCTCTCTGAACACGTCTTCACAGTCTCCAGTGACACCGGGCATAAGGAACTTCTGAGAACAGAAAAGTATTTCCCTGACTTGCTGCAGAGGGGGTGTTCATAATCTCTCAAACGCCTTCATCCAGGAAGATTGTGGGATGGGGTCCTTTTTATGGTGGGGAAATGACCTTTCTCTGACAGTCAAAGAGCAGCCAGCATGCAGCATGGACCTAAAAATACTCAGGATTTGAACAGTCGTGTCAGAAGGCCTTTAACGCATGGTACAGACAACATTGCTGGGAGCCAACTGAACTTTCTCTTCCATGGATGACGAGTATAGGAGTCGACAGAACAAAGCTAGATGTGTCAAAGGCCTTTGTGTATTTTGAAAGTGGGGTAGGAAAAGGAGTCTAATTTTTTACGTATATAGGTAAGTGGTACTGACAAGCATCCTGACTGGAATGTTGAATTACAACCATTTTGTCCTCTAGGTAAAGTGACGGTGAACCGATCAGTATGGTAGGTTTGAGATGGGCTTGGTTGACCACAAGCAGTGGATCATTAGTGAGGCACTAAATGAAGAGATTTTGTCTCCTGGCTTAGATTTGCAAACAATTCAGCAAGAGTTTGAGAAGGATTGCTTGCTACATCTTCCATTTTCTAGCTCCAGCCTTCTGTAGTAGGGAAGCAAAAAACTGACTTGCTATGGATGACCACTGAATTTAGCCAACATTCTAAAACGCGGCTCTGCCGACTTAATAACGCATTTACAAACAAAGCCTTCGCTGAAGTAAGTGTGCCTTTTATCTCTATGTTCAGGGAATCTAATAGACAGCTACCACAAGGTATATGATTAGTATTTATTGAACAACATGTACGGACATGCCATTAAGTCCCTAACAGTAGCCATGAGACATGAAGCCATCTAGGTTGGAGATGAGTTTAAGTGATAGTCACAAAACAGTGTAGACTGCAGCAAAATGCATGCTGGAGTGCAGAAGATGTGCAGGAAATCCCCCCAGCCACCCCATTTCTTGAAGTTTGCGCTTTGTGTCTCCACTGCTCCGCCAG